CAAAATGGATTAAAGACTTCAATGTAAGACCCAAAACCATGAAACTTCTAGAAGAAAACATAGGCAATATCCTCTTCAACATCGGTCTTAGCAGCGTATTTTCATGTATCATGTCTGACCAGGCAAGGGAAACAATAGAAAAAATAAACAAATGGGACTATATCAAACTAAAAAGCTTTTGCACAGCAAAGGAAACCATGAACAAAACAAAAAACAACCTAACAATTGGGAGAAGATACTTGCAAACCATATATCTGAGAAGGGGTTAATATCCAAAATATAGACAGAATTCATACATCTCAACAACAAAAAAACTAACCACCCAATTTAAAAATGGGCAAAAGATCTGAACAGAGGTTTCTCCAAAGAGGATACACAGATGGCCAATAGACACACACGAAAAGATGTTCAATATCACTAACTATCAAGGAAATGCAAATCAAAACTACAATGAGATATCACCTCAGTCCTGTCAGAACGGCTATAACTAAGAAGACAGGAAACGGTAAATGTTGGAGAGGATGTGGAGGAAAGGGAACTTTCATACACTACTGGTGGGAGTACAAACTGTGCAGCCACTATGGAAAACAGAATGGAGATTCCTCAAAAAATTAACAATAATGATCCAGCTATTCCACAGCTGGGTATTTATCCAAAGGACATGAAAACAAGAATGCATAAAAGATATATGCACTCTTATGTTCAGTGCCACATTATTCACAATAGCCAAGACTTGGAAGCAACCTAGGTACCCATCAAGGGACGAATGGATAAAGAAGATGTGGTATATCTACACAATGGAATACTACTCAGCCATAAAAATCAATGAAAGCTGGCCACTTGTGACAACATGAGTGGACCCTGAAGGTATTATGCTAAGTGAAATAAGTCAGAAGGAGAAAGATGATCTCACTCATAAATAGAAGATATAAACAACAACAAACAAACACAAAAAGACAGAGATCGGATTGGTTATTACCAGAGGAGAAGAGGGGAGGGAGGAAGACAAAAGGGGTGATTAGGCACGTGTGTATGGTGACGGATTGTAATTAGTCTTTAGGTGGTGAACATGATGTAATCCACACAGAAATCGACATGCATAACGATGTACACCTGAAATTTATATAATGTTATAAACCAATGTCACCACAATAAAATAAATAAATAAATAATAAAAACACAATGGTAGATACTATGATTTTTCTACTGTGAAGGCAAATGAGGGGTTGAGGAAATGCCAGGCAGAACACAGATCAAATAAGTAGTTATTAAGAGTTCACCAAATGCCCAGTATTTTGCAAAACGATTTGGGAAGCAAAAAAGAAATGTTAGGCATGGTCCCTGCCTTCATAGCTTCAGAGTTTTCTTAGAGAAATTTGTCCTAATACAGACTACATGGAGTAGACATGTCTTTATTAACACAGGTAACATTTAATAGGCCATAAATGTTGTTTCTTAAATGAATGAAAGATAATGCACGAGCAAGGATCATTGTCACACATAGGAAAATGTTTGTAAAGATGGTGCTACGTGAACAAGCTTTTAAATGCTTTTAGTAAATATTTTTAAACAATTTTTCTATACAAAAAATGAAAATAAACTTTGACATAACTTTTGTTTTACTACTTAAAGTGATGCTATAAAAAGCATCTTTAACTAACATTAGTGATACAGTAGTCCCCTCTCATCCTTGGGGGATAAGTTCCAAGACCCCCAGGGGATGCCTGAAATAATGGATAGCATTGAGCCCTATCTATATTATGTTTTTTCTATAAATATATACCTATGATAAAGTTTAATTTATAAATTAGGCACAGTAAGAGGTTAACAACAATATCAAATATTAAAATAGAACAATTATACAATATAGTGTAATAAAAGCTACTGTAGGTCTTAGCAACCTCAGTATACAATTTTTTTCTTTCCTTATTAAGTCAAGAACTTTCACCTTTTCACTTAAAGGAAGCACTTTACAGCTTCCCTTTGGCATATCTGAATTGCCAAAGCAATTCTCTACTAAAATCAAAAGCACTATTCTTCTTCTTTGGGGGCATTATTAAGTAAAATAAGGGTTACTTGAACCCAAGCACTGTGACACTTCAATAGTCAATCTGATAACCGAGATGGCTACTAAGTGTCTAACAGGTGGAGAGTGTGTACAGAGTGGATATGCTGGACATAGGGATGATTCACAGCCTGGGTGGGTCGGAGCAAGAAAGCATGAGATTTCATCATGCAACTCAGAACAACAAGCAATTTAAAATTGTTTATTTCTGGAGTTTTCCATTTACTAGTTTAAGACTCTGGTTGACTGTTGTTCCTCAGATAAGAGAGGATTACTGTATATGCAATAGGAACGTGTCATAATTGCCATGATATTATCAACAATACTTCCATTTTCTGGAGGTGACTTACAGTTTACTATTCAGAAGAAGAGGGGAATTTCAAAAATAATTATAATCAGTTTTTTTTGGGGGGGGGGTTGTGAGGAAGATTGTCACTGAGCTAACATCTGTGCCAGTCTTCCTCTATTTTATGTGGGATGCTGCCACAGCTTGGTTTGACAAGTGGTGTGTAGGTCCATGCCCAGGATCCAAAGCTTTGAATCTTGGGCCACCAAAGTGGAGTGTGCAAACTTAACCACTACACCACAAGACTGGCCCCTGAAATCAGTTTTTTAAATAAGAAAATACATCCTTGCTCCTCAAACCATGGGGCATGGACATGGAGCATTGGGGTAGCTTGCTAAAAATTTCAGAATCCAAGATCCTGCTTCGAACCCATGGAATCAGCATCTGGATTCTAACAAGATCTCCAGGTGATGTACATGCACCTAAGGGCTAAGAAGTGCTGCTCTACACACTTCATGTTGAGGGCGTGTATCTGCTTTTATAACAAACATTAGATGACTAATTAAGTGTGAGCTTGTGGTTTCTACCCTCTAGTAAAAACTATTAAAAAATTGAACATGTAATTTTTCGGCCTCTATAATGCATAATCGTGCTAGTCCCTATGAGGAGCCTATTAGAAGTGTAACATATAGTTCTGACATAAAATGATACACAATCTAGTGGACTACACATAAGACAAGAGAATATAATGAACTGTTTACTTTTGATGTGATGACTGTAAATACAATAAGATGCAAGCACAGGACCGATAAATGTGAACTGGAAACATCACTTGGAGGGAGCAGAGGCAATCAGGTACAGAAAACACCCTAAGAAAAGACACAGAGGAGGAAGAGAGCTAACAGAGACCCTTGAAAGATTATCATTGGAATTTTCACTCTATGGAGGCTGGTAATCAGGAGTTTCTGTAGTTCTTAAAAGCAATTTTAACGATAAAATATGAGTTAATAGAATGAAAAAATCTATTATTGTAGGGATGAACTTGATTCAGAAAGACAGCCTAGAAGTTGACGGTCAGAGCTGTACATGTTGATTTGGAACTCACCAGCCTGTAGGGATGGAAGAACACACCAAGCATTAGGACAAAAGAGCAGAGAGCCAAGAACAGACATCCCATTCAGTCAACATTCAGTGAACGACTATGGTCCCAGCATGATGCTCCGTGTTGGTGAAACAATGATGGCTAGACTTGCTCCTTGCCCTCAAGGAGCCAACTCAGTCATCTATGGTCTGGGGCTTATGAAAGAAGAAAAGGCGACGAAGAGACGAAGGAGGAACCAGAAGAGACATTGATGAGCTCCAGGAGGATAATATCCAGCAAGTCAAGGGAGGAGGGACCTTAAAGGAGTGTCAGAGGTGCTTAAATATCAAGGGAAATGAGGATTTGGTACAAAATCAGTCTGATACATTTTGAGAAAGAGGTATCAGTTTATGTAGTCAAATCTCGAAATCGTTATCTGCTTTTCCAAGCTTCTCAATTTGCAACCTAAGCAATAGCTTTGTTTAGGTTTGGAAAATATAGATTTTACTGTTCATTTTTTATTTAGTAGAACTAATACAAAATAGAAATGTGTCTACTTTCTTGACATATTCTTAAAAAGCAAGATCACATGCAAACTTCTAATTACATAAAAGCCTTATCCAGAAAAAAACATGTATTCAAGAGACTCACAGGTTACCTTGTTGGAGGAAAAGATGTTATTTTGCTTATTTGTGTGCAGCTTCATTCTAAAGATTACATTTTTCATTCAGAAATTTAATTCTGGGGTCAGTGATGTCTAAATAAAATTTAGGTATACAGAAAACCCAAATGTATTATACATGTGGGAAGTTTTAAGGATCTTATCAGGTATACAAAGTCCAGGATTTACCAAAGCATATCATCAAAATAGCATGTCTAGAATTGAGAATAATGTCTTTTGATTGCTACAACTGTAAACAATACATAGTCCAATACATGATTTAAAGTCTTATATTTGCATTCACCAGTATAAGCCAATAAAAAAATAAAAAGCATTGACATTTATTGAACAGTTACTGTTTATCAAGCACTATCTGAGAGTAAATATATATTTACTTATTTAATCCTATATATATTCCCTCATTTAATATACGTTTATCTCACTTAATCCTAAGAACTAATTCAGGAGATAAGTACTGTTATTATACTCATTTTACAAATGAGAAAACAGAGGCACAGAAAGTTTAAGAATTAGCCCATCACTTATAACAACTAAACTTTAGAATGAGTCAAGGAAACCAGTTTAAAGTTGCTATAACTTTTCTTTTTGAGGAAGACTGGCCCTGAGCTAACATCCGTGCCCATCTTCCTCTTTATATGTGGGACACCTGCCACAGCATGGCTTGATAAGTGGTGCATAGATGTGCCCCCGGGATCCGAACTGGCGAACGCGGCCGAAGCAGAGTGCACAAACAACTGCTAAACCACCAGGCCAGCCCCATAAAATTGCTATAACTTTTATAGATTTTATTAATGATATATTGATTTGATATACCATGGCCCAGCATACTTGTCTTTTTACATAGTCTTTACACAATTGCAAATAAAAGTAAGTAATTGTGACATACCTTTATCAAAAATACCTGGCAATCACTGATAAAGTCATATTCCAGTCCATCAAAAGAATGATAATGCCGGTCCCCATATATTGTGCACACTGCCGGGCATGGATAATACGTGCAATTGAACATTCCTCGTCGACAAACACTATTAGAAAATAGCACCAGTTATCTTTCTAAGAAACTCGGCTCTGATTAGTACTTTTTAAGCGGTATAGTGGAAGGTTTGTATTCAAGAGCATTCACTGAGCCAATTGGCCTTAAAAATATTGCCAATTTATTCTGATAGCATTTATTACATTGACAAATTAGGCATATGTTTACCACTTTGTTTAAATAAACTATCAGACACCCCAACCAAGCTTAGAAATTGTGCCTGAGTCACACTGGAAACAGATGATGGAATGAAAAACTGAACACGGCCCTGCTGGTAGCCAGAAGACCACACTGTCATCTCCTATATTTGAGTAAATTTAAATACCTTAGACATGACGTTGTTCAAGAGCTTAGAATCTTTACCCACATTTTAAGGCAATTATATTTCAATTTTATTTTATGGTAGTCTTCTGGCTTATTTCCAGACAGAAAACCTTCCATTAAATGTGACCTTCTCTGGGACATTTTTCACTTTCTTATGAACTTGAGATACTTTTTCTTATTAAATTTTCAAATTGTTATATTTCACACTTTTCTTCTGGGCTGAACAAATATGCATAAAAATAGTGATATGATGCCCCTGTAGATAGTAGCTTCCCACCGACTCTTGAATGCTTTTCAAATCTTCTTTACTCAGGCTTGGAATGTTTGTTTGCTGAAGGCAGTCACATTAAGTAAATCCAAGATGACGGAAACTAATCATCTCTGAGGAAAAGTTTTACGAAATAAATGGATCTCGTTACCAGGTATAACACGGCGTAGCAATGACTTCTCCCGAGAGGTACTCCCAGTCTTTCCAGATGCACGGACAGCCTTCAGGAACATAGCACTTCCCTTTGTGCTCCGCCATTCTGCCAAAGGAAGAAGTAAATGCTACTTAGCGTGAACTACTCCTTTCAGTGTTAAAAAATCAGTAATCTTGTCGTATTCAAAACCATCTACATTTATTACAGCAGTCACAGGCATGTTCTATCTGACCTACAGAGGGGTTGAATGCCATCTTTCTCTCCCTTTTCCCCACACAGCACCTTGCGGATCACAGTAGGAAATAAATGCCGAGCAAATGTTTGGATGCGATATTTTAACCTTCTTGTTATCACTTAGTACAGTAAAAGGGAGACAGAAGCTTAAATTTCTGGGTAAAGTGAGCTACTCTGAAAAAACATTTAAAGAGGAAGTGAGGGCCCTTTCTTCAATATTTGCTACTTCAGAGGAATGAGTCTGTGGGTCTAACAATTTATCCATAAAATAGTGAATTATGAGACGGTTAACATTTTCTGTTACAGGATAGAGAGAGTGATCAAAAGCTTCTTTTACAAGTGATTAAAGTGAAAATCAGGAGAGTTGAGTTAAAATGTGTCTTGAATAAAAAACCATTATATCAAGTGTTTCACATTCTTTATTATCAGCATATCAAGTTTTGAATGTTGATTTCCTTTAAAGTGTTATTTCCTTCTTAAAATATTACCCCATAAGAAAGCATCTTAAAATATCTCTGAATATAAAAATTAAAACAAAATCATTACTTATACTTTCAAGGAAGAATTAATTTTGGTGTGATGTCAAAATATTTTGAAATGATGATTAACTAAACACATATTATATATAATATATATTTCAATACCCTTAATATAAATATATACATATATTTTTCAATATTCTTAAAATCTGTTCCCAAAAGTAGCTTTCATCAACAATAATAATATAACATTACTAATAAATATATAACAATTTTTATAGCAATATAACCATAATATAATAAAATAATTTAAAATAAATAATAATAGATAATAAAATATTAACACTAAAATTCAAAAGTAACTACCAAAAATAGATAAAACACATAAAGTCTTTTTCTGAATTTCTTTTAAAATATCATAATTCAAGGTTATTAAAATTAACATAGAAGTCAGGAATCCTGAATTCTTACCCCTTCTCTCAAATGGCAATAATCACGTGTCCCTTTAGTGCTCTGCTTTCCTTCTTTTCTTTTTTTTTGTTTTTCTTTTTGTTTTTTTTTTTTTAAAGATTTTATTTTTTCCTTTTTCTCCCCAAAGCCCCCAGTACATAGTTGTATATTTCTCATTGTGGGTTCTTCTAGTTGTGATATGTGGGACGCTGCCTCAGCGTGGTTTGATGAGCAGTGCCATGTCCGCGCCCAGGATTCGAACCAACGAAACACTGGGACGCCTGCAGCGGAGCGCGCAAACTTAACCACTCGGCCACGGGGCCAGCCCCTCTGCTTTCCTTCTTATAGCTCATCTAGCACAGTACTGTAACTCCTTATTCAATGCCTATGTTGTCCACTTGACTTTAAGCTCCACTTGGGCAGGTCATGATTATCTTGTTAACAGTTGTGTTCCGATGCCTAGCACATAGCACACACTCAATTGTTGGGTAAAGGTGAATTAATGAACCTATCTATATAAAAGATGCATTATCTCATTTAGATTTCTCTCTTTCAAACAAAAATGCCCTAGAGTCCGTAATTTCTCACCTCAGCCTTCCCAAACTTCCAGCCCCTTTCCCTGGGCATTGCATCTCTCCTTTACCTGGAATACCCTCCCCTGCTCTGCCTGAAAGACTTCTTCTCATCATTTAAAACTCAATTTAATGCAGTCTTTTCAGTACGATCCTTTATGTCCCACACTCCCCGTAGGTAGCAATTCGTACAAACTCTTATTGGACAATTCATCACAATGAACTGCAGGTACTTCATTAAATGTCTTACAGAGACAATTAAAACAATAACAAAAACTAATATTTTTGAGTGCTTCCTATAGCCCAGCCACTATGCCAACCACTTCAAATGCATCACTCACCCATCTAATCCTAGTGACTACCCCATAACGTAGATCTTATTGTTATCGTATACATATATGTATTCTAGTACTTGCCATCCCTGTGGCTTAACACAATGTCCCAAACATCAGGCGCTTCATAAAAATTTGTTGTCCAACTGTTTGGATCAGCGATCCCTCACCTCAGTGACCCACAGTCCCCATATACCTGCCACAGTATGGTTTTAAGTGGTTATGCTGTTGACTGATGAGTTTTTCATAACCAATCAAAACTAGAAGAAGAAAGAAGAAAGCTATGAGTCACTTTAAGTTACCTGCTTTAAACAGGTTTGGGCACTGGGGTAAGTAATAAAATAAACATTTATTGAGCATCTATCGTAAGCCTGGTGTACTGTATATACGCAACCATCCATGACATGGATACTCAATCTAGAAAGAGGAAGCTGAGACTCCAAGTGGTTAGTTAATTTGCCCTGAGGTACTTCAGCTACTAAGAAGGAGGGCCAGTATTTGAACCCACTTCTTTAGGACTCTTTCCACTACATTACTTTCCATTTCTTTAATCCACAGTGATTTCCAGGCCAAGGTATGTGGTTCTTTTACACTTGATGAACTGTGCACACTATGAGGAACCCCAGGGCTACCAGGCTTATCGTCCTAAAATAGGCCAGCCACGGTCACATGGAAGACCATCCAAATCACATTATCATAAACATGGTAATATAACAGAAACAGCTTTATGATAGAAAGCTCGGTATAATAAAATTATTTCCAAATTAGAGACCTCTTAGTCAATTCCAACTATATTTATTTCAATACAATGAGAGAAGGTGGGAGAAAATTTAAGCTTTTGTAATGAAATTTGACCAGTAAATAAATAAATCATTGTCGGACTAAAAGTCAAAGATGACAGAAAAAAAGGTATTTTTTAAAAATAATAGCATTGACCACAAGCATATGAAACAAAATTAGGATGTAGCTTTATCTAATCAGCCATGCATCCCTGAGTCATAATCCAATCAAATAAATCAAGCGATGATGTAGATTTCAATTATTTTACCATAATAAAGGTTTAATTTCCCTTGTCCTTTTTACTAAAATGTCTTCCTTGCTCATCTGCTCTATGGCCTGATTTCTACCTGCCTTTATTTTCCCATGAATCAGCTTGTTCTTTCAACCTCCTTCTACATCCTTACTTTCAAAAGAGATTGATACAGTCCCGAGTTACTTGGCTCTTTGACCTTTTCAAGATAGGGAGCGTTTAGACAAACTCGACTCCCCTGGGAAACAAACTACAAAACCTTGCTCTTCTTTGCTCTGGTTTATATGAATTGAGCCCAGGAATCCCTTTGTGTGAGTAGGTTCATCGAGGAAGAATGGGTGACCTGTTTCCCTTAGGTGCCCTCCCTCTGTGCACGGCCTCTATTCATTACAGAAGAGGAGGGCCAGTGAGGCCAGGTTATATGTGTGCCTGCAAGGAAGCCACTAGCCACCAGACTCTGTATTTGCCTTTCACATGTACTAGGCATTCTTGCTACTAAAGGAAATTTACAAAGATAAGTGCAGGTTATGTTGTCATAAAATAGTGACCCATATTTATTGAGTGTAGGCACACACATACACACCACATCTCACAATGCTTAACTGAGGCTTTTTTAAAAATTATTTTTGGTGAGGAAGATTGTCCCTGAGCCAACATCTGTGCCAATCTTCCTCTATTTTGTATGTAGGACGCTGCCACAGCATGGCTTGATGAGAGATATGTGGGTCTGCAGCCAGGAACCCCTGGCCACCGCCAAAGCAAACCTCACAAACTTAACCACTACACCTCTGGTCGGCCCCACTTAATTGAGGCTTTAGAGGAATTTGCAAAAAAAAAATCACTCAGCTAACACAAGCAGAGCAAGGATTTGAACTCTGGTGTGTCCTGAAGCCAGAGCTCCTACCGTTACCCACTGCCCTATGGAGGCTGAACACATAATCTTCTGCAACATCCATGAGATAAAGCAGCTGGACCACTACTATAATTTAACATCAACAACTGTAACAGCACAACAGAATACACAAAAGTATGCACTTAACGTGTTTTGAGTGAAGAGTGGCTCACTATCACTTTCCCAAGATTGCCATGAATCAGGGAGTAAATGCCAAGGCCCTCCTGAAATGAGTTCTCTCCTTGATTCACTGTAGTACTTTAATAATATTGCACACGTAGCGTATGTGTGACATTATTCAATCTCGTGATGTGTGATATGTAATCTCTCACATATATGTGATATGTCACATGAGCATAGAAAATAATTACAATAATCTTCTAGTTATCAACCCAAAGTTAACCACTGTTGAGAACAACAATTTTAGCTACTTCTGTAAATCATGTTAAGTGCTTTTGTGTTTTCTATCAAATCCTGAGTGTTTGGAATTATCAAGAAAAAGAGGCTTACCCTGGAGCACAAACACAGCCACTTATACAGGGTGAGGATGGGGCGCAAGTGAAGTTCATGGCCAGGTTTGCACATGTCGTCTCACAATTCACACCACCAGCCGGCAGTTCAGGGTTAGGAAACCCGCAGTCAAAATACTCTTTTCCTTCGGGGCAGACGTGAACTTCAAGGACAAGGCACAGACAAAATACCCTTAACTCTGTATTCGTTCCACGCACAAATAATCATGATGACACGCATTTGTCATCAAAACAGAATTCACCACAGCTTTTACCAGTTATTATTAGAGGGTGCTCTTACTCTGCGATGTTTGGTTGTTGAGCCTACAAATCTTCCTCAGCCAGATTTCCCTTAGTCATCCAAATTTCCAAAACCTATTTCGAGTTTGAGAACCTTAACCGCCTTCCATAAGGCAATAACTAAACAATTAGTATATAATTTTATGAGGTCAAGAAACAGGGTATTTTGATTAATTAAAACATATATTTCAATTTTTGACAATACAGTATATTAACCTGTTACAAAGCCAGGTGTTTATAATGAACACACGATACTCATAGATCCTGCTTCACCTGAGTAGTCATTTACATCAGTCCTCACTATACAGTAGAAGCTCAGAAATGGACATAATTATAGGCAGGATAACGGCTGTGTCTTCCTCCAGAAAGCCTTTGGGCTCAGAGGGATTAAATAATGTCCCTTATTGGGGCCAAAAGGATCAAATCTCGTGGATTCCTCTGGGAGAAGTCTGGTCCCGGGCTTCTCCTTCTTCACTTCCGAGCCACTCTGAAGCACACGGGACAAGACAGGCATAGCCCAGGCGCTCCTGAATACGTGTGTGGTCTATGAGCACACCCTGTAAAGAACCCCTAGGTGGCCTGAATCCTCACAAAGTAAGTCCAAGGCATATAATTCAAAGCTAGTTTATAATAATATACACATGACTGTGCAAATAAGTAACAAAGCAATAGAACACAATTAGTTTTATTAGCCTACACTCTTCCCATCCATTAAAATCAACGAAAGTAGTGTTGTTTATTATTTGCCTAGAATTTCTCCACAGTGATTAAAAGTTTGAGGCTTTTTGTATGGTTAAAATAAATAATATAAAGGGCCCCCTAACATATCGGATCTCCAGGAATGATATGCACGTATAAAATGATATTCTCACGAGAGATGGCAGTAGATGCCATTTTACATGTCACTTTTACATGGCTGCTAGTCCCAGAGCCTTTGTTATTCATAATGTTGCTGAGGACCCAGTGGCACTGGCATCAGCTTGGCCATTGACAGAAATGTCAAATCGCGGGCATCACCCCTGACCTACTGAAGCAAGGTGCCCAGGTGATTGAGGGTACGTTAAAATCTGAGAAGTGCTGGTCTGGAGCACAGTTTCTCCATGAGTGGGTTAAAGCAGGTGTCTGGATACCTGGGGTGGTTCTGGGGTAGGCAGCATTTAGGCAGCACCCCTGGGTTGATCAGCTCTGTCCCTAAACAGCCTTATATATTCATCCCAGACTGTCCTACAAGTATTAGAATTCCCAATGTGAAAAAAGTAGGAACCAATGGAGCACAGTGTTGAGAAACATTCCCAAGGCTTTATTCCAGCACATTGACAGGAGGGCTGTCATGGATTAATGACTTCAGGCAGAAGAGTGGGGGCAGGACTAGAGCCATATTCTCCCTAAGGAAAGCATCTGTCTAGTTCTTACCAGTAGAGGGCGTTGCTGGTTCATCACATTTCACAGTTCCATTTGAACACTGGCTAGTGGAAGTAAACAAACAGTTAATTTATGAACCCATACCTCAGTTTTTTCTGTATTTCAAAAACAATATAACTTGCAAGAATTGATTGAGTGCATATACAAATGTTATTTTTCCCACAGAATTTTTTACAAATAAGTTATTGGCTTACTTCCAATTTGAAGAGAGCTATTTTAGTTCAACACGTTTTTATCAAACACTTATATGTGGGGGACACTGTGATAGACATGGGGGATACAAAGACCAGGATTCACAGTCTTTACCCAAGTGCTTATTTTCTAGAAGGAGAGAAAGACATACAAATGAATAATTTATGCAATGTGACACATGTAACACAGAAATATGTTTAAGATTTAGAAGAAAAGCAGGAAAATTTTTACAAATCTGTTGGCAATTGACATTAGGGCAGTGAAAGAAGGTAAGGTGTGGAGAATTTTGAAGACTGGGTGGAGGTTATGGCACAGATGAAGTAGGAAGGCTGGAACACAGTGGAGAGCAAGCCGTACAGGGTGGGGCAGTGTCCTATCCAACAAAGTGCACTGTGGGAGGTGACAGGAGATACAGACGGCAAAGAGTCAAAGGCCAGCTCCTACTAAGATGCTAAGACTTTATCCCTTGGGTGATCCACGGAGGACCCTAAACAGAAAAGTGATATAGTTGGTTTGAATTCTGGGAACGTCATTCTGGCAGCAGTGTTGAAGATAGAGTGGAGTCACATCTTGCACCTTAAGTTCTAAAGTCAGGGCATAAGGTAAAAACCCAATACAGGCAAAATTAATCTTGAAAATCCCTTAAGAAGATAGGAAACAACAAACTGGTTCTCACTAACTCCAACATAAACAGTTTTTTCTCCAGCTTTGGACTAGATCATGTGCCCTATATTTGAACCCAGATGAAGAAGCTGACGTGTAAGGACCACATCACATGAAAAATAGGCTCATGCATCATCTAACAGTAGGATGTCACTCAGAAGTGTGATTTGCTCACACCATGAATGGCAGAGAGGAACTGAGACAGACAGCTCAGGTCACAGATACAGGTCTTCAATATCATAATCATTCTGGGACACAAGGCTTTTTCAGAGGAATGGCAAAGGAGGTCGCTATATTAATGGAATTATTTTTCTCATTGAGGAAGGATAATTCCTTTGTTTTTGCCAAATTTACTTAAACAAATTCAATTATGTTAAATTCAAGAGAGTTGTGACATCTTGGTAGAATGGAAGAAGACAAAACTAGAGGCAAGAAGACTGGGTAGAGAGGTCCAGGGAAGAGATGGTGAGAGACGTTAAGGCAGTGAGATGGAAAGGAGGGGTGGGTTTCAACGATCTGCAGAAAGTAAAATCCACAGTCATTGAGGGTTTATTGGCTCGGGGTGTTGAACAGGAGGAAGGGGTCAAAAATGACTCCCAGATTTCTGTCTTGGGAACTATGCTTGGTAGTCCAACCAACTAGAGAAAGATCCAAGAGCTGGTTGCCTTTGTATCTTGACTGAGGGGTAGAAGGTAAGAAGGGAGAGGGAGATAACAATAAAGGGAAACTGAGTGTAAACAATATCCTACCACGAATATGAAATAAGCTGCAAGCGAAGTAGGCAGTAGAGCAGGCACCGCAGAGCCAGGCTGCCTGGGACCGAATCCTGCTTCACTACCGAGTGGCTTAACTGCCTGTGCTCATGGTCCTCACCTCTAAACTGGGGACAAAGCTATGGTACTCATCTCTTATGGTTACAGTAATTGGTGCCAGGACAATAGAAGGTGCACAATAATGGTCACACATCACCATGGTTACTACTATCTACTGTCTGTTATTACCTGTGCATCCTGTGGGGCAACTAAAAGTGGGAGCCTAGGAGTCAGATACAGATCCACGTGGACTGCTGCATGGACAAGGCTGCATTTTTAACAGACAGATAACAACCCGAATGAGTGTTATCCTGTGAATAAGTGTATATCACTAGGATCCATGTTCCCAGGTAGGCAGTACACTGACTCCAGCATGTGACATGTCTACAACTGTTTTAGAATTAGAGTTTTTGAGCCAGTGGTTGAACAACTAAACAAAACTCCTGAGTAACAGGCAGTGATTGAGCCCCCGTCTCAGCCCTGACTTCTATCTGAGAACCAGACTGATCCACGGGCTTCCCTTCTGCATGACACTTCAGTTCATAGCTCTTTTCTGCAGTTCTAAGTGCGAGACTTAGGCATTCCATGTCAAAACAGAATAATGTGTATGGCTTAAAAGGTTACATTAAGGTTACCCTTTTTTTTTTAAATTACAGAAGTCATATTTCAATTTATGGTTTTGCTTAAGAAATCATATTAGTACATGTTGTCAAGCACAATCACCATCAATGAAATCTACCATAAGCCCGAGGGTGTTGGGATGAGCTCCCCAGGTTGATAAACGCTGCCCCTATAATGACACCGGCAGTGAAATCTATAAGAAAAAAAAAAAGATTAAATTAATAAAATAGGATTTTTTTTTTCTTGGCGAGGAAGACTTGCTCTGAGCCAACATCTGTTGCCAATCTTCCTCTTTTTTTCTTTTTTTTCACTCGAGCAAGATTCGCCCTGAACTAACATCTGTGCCAATCTTCCTCTCTATATCGTATGTGGGTCACTGCCACAGCATGGCTTGAAAGTGGAGTAGATACATGCCCAGGATCTGAACCTACGAACCTGGGCTGCCAGAGTGGAGCATGCTGGACTAAACCACTATGCCACAGGGCCAACCTTGATATAAATGTTTTAAAATACGGTTAAATCAAGTGGACTCTATGCTCTGTATTGGTAATTTAAGGCACATTCTAAAGATGACATTATTCTATGAGACTGCTTGCAGCTCTGTGATACAAGTGGCAGAAACCATTGAAATGTGAAGTCTTGTGTAGTTTCAGAGTTTGTTTTCTAAATACAAAATCTATATTGTTTTTGTCACAAAACAGACCATGTTGTTCTAGTCATTAAAAAAGGTCCCTGGGGGCCAGCCCAGTGGCATGGTTGTTAAGTTCAGCTTGCTCCACTTTGGCGACCTGGGGTTCGTGTGTTCAGATCCCAGGTGTGGACCTACACTGCTCATCAAAGCTATGCTGTGGCAGCAATCCACATGCAAAATAGAGGAAGATTGGCACAGATATTAGCTCAGAGCCAATCTTCCTCACCAAGAAAAGAAAGAGAGAAAAAAACAGAAAAATAAAAAGGTCCCTGAACGCACTTCACAGGAACATAACTGATAAATCATTTAGCCCTCTGTATAAGACAAAAGTGTTTATCTCATATGAGATTTGACAGACTTCTGAGTGCCGACAGACGTTACAATCCTGCCATTAAAATCTGCCACATAATGGTGAAACATAAACCTTGTTATTAGAAATAACTTCAGGATGAACCATCAGCTTCCTTAGCTCTTTCCGTAGCTATTTGTAAACACCTACAGGGTAAAACTGAATAAATCAAGGTAAAGACACTAAAAAATATTGAAGAAACAACTCACAAGCGGATCTTTGCATATATGCACACTTATTCTATGGAAAAAGTGACCATCCAATAGTGGAGAAAATTTATTTTTCCAAAAAGTGGTGCTGAGTCAATAAGATCAAAAAAAAACAACAAAAGAAAAGAAAGAAAGAAAACAAGGGTGAAGCCCATCTAACCTGTAAGAGAAAAAGAGATAAAAGCTGGATGCTGCCAACCCACTTCTGTGACTTACATGGGCACGCAGAAGCTGAGTGTGTCTTCGTAGTACCTGCCTTCAGGACAGTTGCAACCCTCGGCACAGTCGTCGCTGCACTGCTCCGGGGAGGAGAGAGAAGTGCAGGCGCGGCGACAAAAGGAGGCGCAGTGATGGTACAGCATGCCCTTCTGGCACACCACCCCTGAAGACGAAGGAGCATCCACTCAGAAAGATTTCCACAGGGCACAGAAGCATTTTATGCTGGGTTATAGGCCTACGATAGTCAGCGCTGGTGGTCTAGTGGCTAAGATTCACACCCTCACCACCACAGCCTGGGTTCATGTCCCGATCAGGGAACAGCACCACCCGTCTGTCGGTTGTCACACTGGGAGGCTGCGTGTTGCTGTGATGCTGAAGGCTCTGCCACAGAGATTTGAAACACCAGCAGGGTCACGCATGGTGGACAGGCTTCAGGGGAGCCTCCAGACTAAGACAGCCTAGGAGAAGGACCTGGCCACCCAGTTCTAGAAAAGGCCATGAAAACCCGGTGAATAGCAGCTGAGCATCATCTGATAGAGCTCAGGAAGGGGAGAAGATGGCGCAAAAAGACCCGGCAGGGTTCCATGTGCTGAACACAGGGTCCCCAGGAGTTGGAAGGGACTCCACAGCACTAACAACAAAAATAGGTCTATGATAAACATAAATCACGAAAAAAAGATATCTTACATCAATAAACCTAGAACATTACAGAATCCTCTAACAGAAACAGATAAAGTAATTATTTGCCTCAATAGAAGTATAACAGAAGAATAAAATTTCTATTCTGAAACATTTCTGTGGACATTCCATAACATTCTTTAACAGCCTGTACCATCATTTTTTTAATATTTAAGATATTTTATGTCTAAATAAACTTCCTGTTCTCACATTTTAAATCTATTTACTGGTATATTGACATCACCTTCTTTATGACATTACGTAAACCTAAGTAAACGTTTAGTCTTCTGTAAATCAGACAAAACTTGACTTTATTGATCTATACTCGTAGTTCTTGTTTCATGCATTCTTAATGATGGTAATAGTTTTTTCTAAGTCCTTCCATTTCTCTTTAGACCAAACTGAACTGATTACAGTAGGCAAACTAAAATAATCTAAAAATACACTTGTACGAACACCTGGAAAATGCTGGATAAAACATTATTGAAATTATGTTAAATGTATAATTGACCGTGTAAGGAAAAAATGGAGGAATGTAACCTCCCCAGATGCCAGCTGTGAAGAGGAAAACAAAATCCAGAATTTTGATTAGAGGAAGAGAGGATGGATCCCAGTAACCCTGGACCTTACATTTAACTGGTGTGGGAATGGAAAATAAAAGTTGGTCCTTTACAATGCAGAGGATTGAGAGATCCTTAACTTGGACCCTCAGAAAAGCTCCATCCTCAGTTGGAAAGATGGACTACGGCAGAGATCAGCAAACTTTTTATGTCAAGGGCCAAATAGTCTATAGTTTCAGTTTTGCAGGCCATACAGTCTTTGTCACAACTGCTCAACTCTGCCTTTGTGGCTCAAAAGCAGCCATAGGCAGTACACAAACATACGGGCAACAAACTTTATTTACAAAAACACAGGAAGTTCAAGGGTGTAGCTTGCCAACTCCTGGATTAGAAGAAATCTGCTCACGTACAAGAAGACGCCAGGAAAGCTTCTCTAACTCTGTGGGTCTGTGATGAAATAAGGAGTCCTCTGAGAAATCAAATCCCAGAGCTACATCCCATACAAGTTTGGTGTATGAATTTACATTACTTTTATAGTTACATTATTTTTATCTTCGAAAGCCCAAGCTGAGAAGTTAACATCAGTACTGGCCAGTGATACTCCTGGAGTGACAGGAGAAAGGTTTGTGAAACCACTGAGGGGGTGGGCAGGTGGAGAGAGTAACGCTCGTGAAACTCAGGTCACAAAAGATTCTAACGTGGGGGAAGCCTTGTTAAAAATTAGGTTATAAAAATATTATAGGACACAAAAGAAAAGGAAACAATCTACCATGAATGAGAACAGGAGACACCATAACCGTGAGGATTCCAGCCCCACGAACTTGAGATAATTTCCTGTTGCATAACTTGCCCATTTAACTTTAAATCAACTGTGTCACTATATCACATAATGCTTTTCCACACTTTCCAATACTTAGATATGACATTTCTATCATAAGAATTTTTTCAGATTTTCTCTATTGCATATTTCAAACCATACAGTTACACTTTAATTTTGCTTATAATAAAAATAGTCAAAAGTTTTTGGTCTTATCCATCAAAGCTCCAAATTTAGGAAATGAAGCATTTCATTTGTTTTTCATGTTTGCATATGATAATACTTCAAATAACTTAAGCCATATTGACCTTTCATTAAAAAAATAAAAACAGTAACTACAAACACAAAATTCTCTAAAGCGTTATCTAATCGTCTTTATCTGTGCCACATCGCCATCATACTCACCACAGAATGAAACCTGAGCTCTGAAGTCGATGGGAACACCACGCTGGCCACAGAGGTGGGCATAGTGGGCAAGAGCATTGCACAGGCAGGTGCTCCCACACTTGCATGCATCATGGCGGCACAGCTGATGGTACAGTCCAGGGCTGATGTACACGTGGCAAGGAGCAAAGAGCTCTCGGTGGATAACATCACAGTGTGCTGCATATCCAACTAACAGACAAACAGCCCCATTAGCACCTCATTTACTAGTCTAGAGCTTACCTCTAAGTATCAAATTCCAGAACTATCCAAGCATTGTGCTTTCCTAGAAATACTCTGTATAGTATATTAGTTTCAATAAAAGCCAATGTTTCCAGCTTATCCTGGTTTTGGTGATTTGTTTTTACTTTGGGTAATATTGGTGACAGCACTTAATCCATGTTCAATAGTTTTTTAGCAAAAAAAAAAAAAAGTATTGTGTTATACCTGAATAACCTGAGTAACGTAAGGGTTGATAGAAGTGGCCTCAATCGCTCCATTGCCTGAGGATCATCTTAGGAAATCATCTCAATTCTGCTGTAAAGAATTAGTGAGTATTGGGAGACATCTCCAGACACCCACTCACGATAAAAGAGGGGGCCAGATTGTGGATGTTATGGCATTTCCCTGAAATACACAATTATCCAGGAAGGATTGGGAATCACCTCATTCCAATGGAGTCTCTGAGGTGAATGGTACTGTGGCAGATGCCACATAGTCACTGAACACAGTGTCTGCACAAGGCATAATGCACAATGCACAATGTCTGGCAAATGTTAAGAGCTCAAAAATGTTCGATAAATGAATCTATGAATGCACAAAAAAATGAATAATGAATAGAAATTAGAGACTGGAACATATTCTAAAGGCCATAAGATATAACTACCAAGCAATTTTGGTAGTAGAAGTATAATCACTTCTTGAAATTTGTTGACTTTTCCCTTGAGAATGACTGATCAGATATAATTCTTTGTGGGAGTAACCAAGATTTTCAGAACAATCTAGATGCCATCTTTTGAAAAAGGCTAGCCCTGTGACTCCTTGATGTAGTGGACGTGGGCTGCATTGATTCCCTCACAGATAAAATTTATCAGTCTTTGAGTTGTCATTGTCTTTGAGAGACTGGATGAACTGGCAGAGATCAAAATTACTTCACTACTAAGAAGTTATACTGAACTTATTTTGTTGAGTATTTTACATATATTTATTACTGGTAAGGAAACAGATGGTAATTATCTGAGTATTGTATTTTTGCATTGTTATGCATGTGTATATAAAATGAATGACTTAGACTATAACAGCATACTGTTGGCATGTGTACTCCTAATCCGCAGGAGCTCCTGAGCAAAGCAATACATCAGAGGGGTTTTACTCTGTGCCCTAAGGATTTATAAATCAAAAAATATCACTACTGGGGCCAGCCTGGTGGCACAGCGGTTAAGTGTGCGTGTTCCGCTTCGGCAGCCTGGGGTTTGCCGGTTCGGATCCCGGGTGCGGACATGGCACTGCGTAACAAGCCATGCTGTGGTAGGCGTCCCACATAAAAGTGGAGGAAGATGGGCACAGATATTAGCTCAGGGCCAGTCTTCCTCAGCAAAAAGAGGAGGATTGGCAGCAGATGTTAGCTCAGGGCTAGTCTTCCTCAAAAAATATATATATATATTACTACTGACATGAAGTAAAATGGGGACTCAAGAAAATCCTTGTGGAAAAATATCCTTCAGAATCCACATCAGAGTTATTGACTTTTACCTATTTATTTTCCTTTTTGGGGGGATCTTTCTGAATTTGCCTATTTGAATTTTTTTAAAAAATAGTTCATGGCAAAGGTGAAGAAGGGTAATATGTGAAACATATGTCACAGAAGACATGAGATATGAGGCTAAAAGTGATAAAAAAAAAATGTCTAACAAAATAGCATATTATAAAGGAGATCGTTAAAGAAAAGACCAGAAGGAAAATAAATCGATCAATTGGACTCTACTCCAACTTCTACGTGTTATTAAAAAAATAAAGTTGCTGCAATATCAAGGAGGTAACCAAGAAAGTTTGAAACCAACTGAGCAAGACTAATAGAAAGAGAATGAGTAGATCTATTAGTAGAAAGTTGAAGACAGAATAGGGGGAAAAGTATCATTAAATGGGAGTGAGAATAAACACATTATAGAATCATAGAAACCAAAAGACTTTAGTCTAGTCCCCTTGTTATAGATAGGAAAAATGACCAAAGAGGCTAGCAATCTTCCTCAACTTTAGAAGTTGGCTTAGGTAAAAAGGCACACTAAAAGCAAGATTATCTTGTGTTCTTTCCAGGACACCAAAACTATAAATCAATAATAAGGACCATGTGAGAATCAACAGAATCCTCCCCAAAAAACCACTACAAAATCCAGAAATTGTACCGGCTTCTCAGGAGTACTCAATCAATATTAATAATGTATAAAAAATAACTACATAGAAACAGTAAACTAGGCAAAATAATTAAAAGAATAAACTAAAATTATAAAAGTATCTACTTAAGCACACACATTAATTATTTTCACAGAGATTTAAAAAAATAATAATAATATGTCATCTTTGAGCAGTGAAATAGCCTTTCACATGGTTTGCTCTGGCTTTAGCAAAAACAAAAACACAGCCAAAAATCTTGGCACGTGAGTTGTAGTGTCATTGCAAGTTGGAACTCTGGAGCATGACCATCTCAGATTGTTGCACACTTGATGGCACTAAACTTCCTTGGATCACTGGCTTCCTGCTCATGAAGGCATGTTCTGTTAGAAGGAACTCATAATAAGACAGTAACAAACAGGAGAATCCACGTGAGTTGTTATGCTATGGAACTGAAGTCAAACATCCCCGGACTATAGCAGCATTATTAGAGTATTTCTAGAGATTTTCCTTTAGCATTTGAAAAATCTGAAATCTTCAAAATGCTAGTCCATCTTTTGGAAGAATTCAGGGATGTTTAAACCCCTAAAATAAGTAAATTTATGAATGTAAAGTGATAAATAGTTATTTTCTGGACTTCTTTTTAAAAGTAACCTAGATTACATAAAGAAACTTATGAAAAGGCATAATAGTAAAGAAAAATACAAAAGGAATGGAAGTGATTTTATCATAATGAAGAAAATCAGAATTTAAAATCACTCTCTAATTTTACAGGATTACAGTAATACACAGAACTTTCCCCTAAGTTTACATGCAGAAAGAGACTTACTGTTCTGTTGATTAATGTTACAGGGGTCCACGACAGGAACATGAAGAGGCGCAAAACAGGTGGAGGAAACTCTCCACGCGTTTGCGTGAAGTTGTGGGGTACCTTCTATCATGCCTGATGGAGAACTGGAAAGCAAAGGTAATATTCATCTTAGCGTTTCCCATTCATTTCATTTGCTCATAGTCTTCAATGTTGAAAAGAGACAATATTATTTTTTTAATTTTACAAAGAATCAGAGCTTGAAATAGTCTATTTTAAAAAAATATATATGGTATTCGCTTCCTGTTAATGAAGACTTTCTAATGTGTTGAATTGTGGACATGCATGGTTTTATTTAATAATTGTCTCAGCCCTGTGAAGAAAACATCATTATCTTCATTTTAGAGAGAAAGCAAAGAAGTTCTGAGAAATATTAGCACTAACAGCTGATAAGTGTCAGAGCCAACATTCAAATCCACTTTACACTGATTTGATGAAACATCACTCACACAACCAAAACATTAATGCGTGTGTGGTTTACGGCACATGGGGAGACGCAGAGGTGAGCAGCTCACTTGATCCTTTTCAGGGTAAAGATAAATGTCCCAAATGTCTGATTTAATAGTTCAGTTTCCGTTGTGAGGCCTGAAATACTGAGGTTCCATCCTAAAGCTGGGCAGACGAACCAAATGAAAAGTGAGAGACTGGTATAAAAGACACCCTTCATCCGAGTTTGCTCACTTCTTTAGTTCCCTCAGCAAACCAAAATGAGAGAGAAACATTGACCTTTCCCGAGACAAGCTTATAAACTACAACAATGTCCAAGAACTAAACACTAAAACGCCCCCTCCAGCAGCCATCAAGATTAATTAACTCATCAGCCAATGTTTAGTAAGTGACAATCCCTATTGGACACTGTGCCAGGCACTGTCAAAACTACTTAGAGAATCAGGGTGGACTAGGTCTCCCGAAGGAAGCTTTGGCCAAACAAAACCTGACTAATGCAAGCCCTCCCTGCGCTAATTGCTACAACATGGCCAAACAGTAGAGCAGGCTTTATCTCAGCTCTCTACGCGTCCTAATAAATTACCTGCTTGGGCTACCATTTACCTCCATCACCATTAAGTATATGGGGTTTCTCACCACAATGATTGAGGCAGGAGGGAAAAAGGAAACTGTACAAGCCATTCCACAATGCCCAGCTCCTGACCCCACCCTTTCCCCTCTTCTTCCTTTTCCTATTCCACAAAATCAGACCATTCTAGAACTGTAAGGAATTATAACCAACACCTAATCCAAACATCTCATTTTGGTGTTCAAATGAGAGCACCGAGACAAAGAAATTGCCGGAGTTGCACTAACTCTTCACATTCCTTCCCTCTCCTTCCCTCTCCACCCTACAAAAGACAAGAAAATAGGTCAAGGGGATGGGTGTAGTCAGGGCTCCCCAGAGGAAGTGACAGAGCTTGGCTCTCTTCTTTCATTTAGTTCACTTAGAACAATCAATACAAAAGAAATTACGAGCTAAAATATAGGTCCATTTATTTATTGCATTTCATTTTATAAAATAACTTTCCAGCTCACCGTAGTTAACTTACTATAACAAGGGATACAAGATAAATTTTCGAGTAATTAATATTTTCCATTCCACTCTGTTTGCCGATTCGCATTAACCTTTGGGAAGTGAAGAGTTTTAACTGCTTAGGCTGGAAAGCTAAACAATGTTCGAAAGTTATCTCTGACTCTGAAATATTATCCTGCACTGTTATCACGCCTGAATGTTTGTACACGGAGGAGACTGGTGCCTCAGAAAGAGGCAGACAGATCTGCCATCTGTTAAACATTGACTGCTAACCCATTCTGACAAACAAGGAGGAGAAAGAAGGTTTAACATCTTTTCTGCACATCGTAGCCAAGTCACTTAACACAGTTTCTGTTTTGCAAACGTGATAGAGATACCAATATTCTGACCTACAAATAAATAAGATGAAAAGCCAAATAACCTAAAACCAAACTCAACACACAGGAGACAAGATAAAGAAAATTCTCTTTTGAAATTTTTAATTTTAAATGCCAGTTCTCCTTGCCTATCCAAATTCTCCTCTTGGTGCCTCATTAAAAGTTCTACCTGTGTCAAATTCGCCTGTCTATTGCATATAAGGTTCCATGCTTGTTCCTAAGAATACAAGGACTGATCCTCATTCTCCAAGCCCTTGTAGTTAAGTGGGAACCAGAGAGTTAAACGATGGATTTTTATAGATAACACAGAGTTAGAATTAACTTTATCTGGTGGGATATGAACTCAGTTTTTGAAGCACATAATGTCTGAGTTGGGTTTAACAATAAATGAGGGTTCACAGAAAGATTAGGAGGGGGAAATAACCCCAAGAAGGAAGAGGAGCACATGCAGAAGTTCAAAAAAAAACAGCATGGTATTTGGAGAACGGCTTCTCCATGAAACATCCACTGGCTGCCCAGCCCACACTGAGCCACTCAAAATTCCTGCTGTGCTTCTAGGCACCACCATACAGCTCAACACTTAACTTTTTGAAATTACCTCAGTATTTTTATATGTATTGTTGATCAGTACCTTGCTTAGTACTAATTGTTTCTTAAAGGTTTTTATCCCCTCCTCATCCACAATACAAGCTCCTTGAGGAAGAAAACCGTGTAATACTCCTCAATTGCCCCTCAGTGCTCAGCACAGTAACAGGTGCTCAAAGAGTTTCTGCAAAATTATGCACAGCATCTTCTCACATGTAGGAGAGAGCGCTTTGTCAACACAAGGGGTACAAATGTACGGTATTGCTTTTCTTCCAGTGAAACACCATTTAAAGTATAATTTACTGTCATTAATACCAAATGATACTAGGAATTTTTTAAAGGCAGTGAGTTTTCGGTAATGAAATCCTGTTAAGTTTAATCAGCGGCAGAGGAGAGAAGAACACGTGGTTAGTCTATGGGTTGGCCCACAGGCTCTGAGTCACGCTACCTAAATTCAAAGCCCAGCTCCACTGTATTTGAGTTAAGTGACTTTGAGCAATTGGTCACTTTGAGGCCTCAGTTAGTTTCTTTATCTATAAAACAGAGATACTGATCAGAGGATTGCTACAAAATTTAAATATGATGTTCCATCTAAAGCTCTTGGAACAGTGATGACTAAGCTACTATTAGTTAAGCAAACATTTTTTATGAAAGAATTTATATCCTCTAAATTAGTAGTCATTAAATTACGTTGGTGATACAGAAATCATACTTACAGAAAATCATCCCTTATGTTCCCATTAAAAGTGCCACACAGACCTAATGTTCTTCTTTTCCATGTACTAGTGAGCTGAATATAAATTCTTTCCCCATCTATAGCAAACAGAATCTTTAAACCAAATGTGGTTTTTAGAAGAATAAATAAGGATGACAGAGTTTGAATTTCAACAATGCCTGCAGGAAAAGAACACACATAAATCAATTTTAAGACTCGTAGGCAGTGTTCTGAAATGCTGGGGTGTAACAAAGACTTCTTCCAAGAGACTGGGCAGGGGAGGCAGCCTCCCAGTTCCCGGCCTGGTACTCCAGGGCCATTGGTTGCCACCTATGCCTGCTTTCTTCTCCCCATTTCCCTTCTGTCCCACCTTTCTGGGTCTTCAGCAGATCTTTTTAATAGTTTAGCAGGTCAATATGTTATTATCTGATCTCTTTTGCTTGAAGTGTGTGTGTGTGTGTGTGTGTGTTTGTGTAAATTTTTCCCCGAACTTGTCATCAGTCAATAAGGAAGTAGCACTTTCTTCAAAAATTCCCCATTCCCCTGAGCTTGTCAGCAAAGAGGAGGAGCACAGTACTTCAGAAGCACCATTTTATGAGACACCTTTAAAGACAAGAAACTTGGGTTCAAAACTGAACAAATGACTTTTGCCACCAGAAGAGTTGCTCTTCATGTTCCTCTATCTCTGGCACAATTTCTGCCATCAATCAGGCCACTAAAACCAGAAATCTCAGAATCCTTCTTTGATCACTTCATCCCCCTCATTGCCCTGCCCCAACCAACCTCAATCCAATCTATCACCAAGTTCAGACCACTTTCTTTTCTGAATAGTTTTCAGTCTATCTTCTTCCCACCTCCCTGGCACTGCCCTGGATCAGTTGCTCCTCACTTCTTACACTGTTCTTCATGTCTCCTGTCTAGCACCTTTCAAAGCTACTTCTACACTGTTGTCTTAGTAGTCTACCAAAAAAAAAATGACTCTTTGACAGTCATCTCATTAAAATTCATTTATTTGGTTGAACCATATGAGATTGTCATCTTTGTACATAAAAATGGTTAAATAATGATAATTTCATATTCAATTTCATATCAAGTTCAACTTCCTTAGCAAGACACTGAGCAGGATGACCATGTAATTTGTAATACAAACCGGGACATTTCTGAGAGTGAAAGAGAGTGTTATTCATAACCATGCTGGAACACAGGCAGGAACAGGCCCCATCCCAGGAAAACCACAATGTATGATGCCCTGTATATAAGGCCTTCCCCAATCTCACCCCCACCTATTTACCTCTTCCCATCTCTGCACGTTCTCCACTTACCCTCTTCAGGCTGTAGCAATGCCAAACCAGTCATTGTTCCCCCTAAACACACTACACGGTTCTACACCTCCTTGCTACGCACAGAATGTTTTCCCCATCTCCTTCATCCTGGAAATTGCTCAGCTTTAAATGCTCAATTAGACATCTCTTCCTTCAGAAAACTTTTCTGACCATACCTGCACACCTTCCCCAGTGTTAGGTGAGCCCCAAAGTCCCTATGCATATCTTTGAGTTTATCATATTTTATGCAAGTGGCTATTTACTTGTATTTCTCCCCTTCCAAACTCTGGGCCTCTTGAGATAAACACTATGTCCCATAAACACAGTAGTCTCCACGATGTCTAGCTGAGGACTGGAGACATGTAGGTACTCAATAAATGCTAGGTTAGTCTTCAGTGAAGAAGACTCCATTTGGGTTGTTGTTGTTTTTAATGTAAGAGAAGTACACCATTAGCATTTCTTCTTACCGTTCAGATTGAAGCCTTGGTTAGGACTGGTGAGGATTTGTCCTCCCCTACTAAGGGTCACTTGTTTGTTAAAGTCATCCTCCAGAATTAGAGTTATAGACTGAAGGCAGACCAAGCCAAGGTTCTGCATAAATGTCAAATTATCAATTAAAGGAATGAGAGAGGAAGAGACATAGAATCAGACAGGGACAACGGGAGAGGGAATGAGAGAAAGTGAGGGAGAGAAAAGAGAAAGAGAATGGTAAATAAGAATTTCCGGTATATAGAAGGTTTGAGTATAAGTAATAAAATAAAGTAGTTACTACATCTTATTATCAATCTTATGTAGTCCTATTGCTAATAAAATATATTTTTATATACTATATTAAATATACCATATACATGCATACACTTTACATAGATAATTAAATAAAATTCTTTTCAATAAAGTGCCAATAATTATGTTTTCCATAGCACATGTTAAAATACCTCTCCAAATTCATTTGGGATATATTAGACATAAAAAAGTCCAATATAGAAAATAACAAACAGAATTAGGATTCTATGTATAAAGCTAATTCAGACTCGACTTACTGCAAAGGAAAACAGTCAAACTGAAAAAAACACAAAGTAGCTCAGCATTTTGTCAGAAATAAACATTTTATCTTGGGATACATCTAGAAAATTAAAGATGTGGCAAAATTTTGACTACCTGATTTAGAGAGATGAATGAAAGATCTGGGTTTCTTTATTTACAAATTAATTATATGTTTATTTCAAGAAAAGATCTAAAATAAATATTCCAGTATGCTAAGAAATTCATCATATCTATTTAGAATGATATGAAACCTGTTCAATTCTTTCAAAAATCATCTCATTAGAATATTGGTTTTTGAAGTAACCAAAAATTTAGGCCCAGTGTGCAATCTTGCATGAAATGTTCAAAAAACTATACATACAAATACCATTTTTTAAGAGAAAAATGCAATTATATATATAGTATTTGTCATACTTGTTTTCATATTTTAATATCTCTGAAATTAGGATACATTATATAATTAATGGTATAACATAGATTATCAACATTTTTCCTTTCTTTGTAGTATGTAGAATAATAATGCATCTTAAGAATCAATGGTGTCTCAGGTTTGAGGAAAACGACTATACCCATTCATGTTACCATTCTTAAACTAGATATGAAGTTTGAGTGAATTAAAAAAAAAAAGAACATTCCTTTGGTCACTGTGAGATGTTCTTACCTGCTCACAGTGAGCTTTCTGTAAAGTGATTGTGAATTTATCTTTTCCAGTTCCTTTCACAAGGATGTACTGGCACATTCCGATGAAAGAATAATGTCGACCATCAAAAGTTGTAAAATGAGAATCACCCACAACAGAACATTGAACTACAAAAAAGAGAAAGAAATTATGCTTATTTTTAAAAAGCAGGAAGTCAACTTAGGGCAAATATTCATGCATCAAAGAATAGCTAAAGCACTTAAAATTTACTAAATTTGACTAGTTTGACAAACATTAAGTTTTATAATTTAATTTAAAATTGATTAAATGATAGCTCTTCCACATAATTTTGTTTTGCAATATTTATTTTATTTAATAAATTTTTACCAAAGTTCCCTGCTCAAAGCTATCATTTATTCAATTTTCCATTTATCCTCTGAATACTTGGATTTATAGACCATTGCCTCTCTTGTTACATATGAGATGACCTCATAAAAACCAGTGCTGTCTTTCTTCCTGATTTAAAGAAAATTGAAACATTTTCTTTAAAAGAATTTTAAAAGATTACCTGGACAGTCATGCTCAGTGCAGTTCCAAACTCCACCAACACAGACACTAAATGAAATTATAAAAATATTAATAGACTACTACAGAGAAACTGTATTAATATTGCATCAATTTGTTGATTAATGTACCAAAATATATCATGTTTATAGATTCAGAATAATCTGACTTGCAAAACATCTCTACAAAGTTTCAATTAACTGATAAATTTGGGTTGGCCAGTACCTAAATTATTATTTATTGTGTGTCATACATAAAAGTCATAAAGATGATACAAAAGGAGTCCAGAATAGTCAAGGGCAAAAATGCTAAGCAAACAGAGAACTTCTGGTTTTGTCCTTCTCTCGCTAAACTTCTCTTGCTTAAACTGAAAAAGCTCACACACAAAAATAGTATTTACCTACATTATTAGAGAGATATACATAAAGAGTTAAGATTAATAAATTAACTCATCTACTAAAAATTCAGAAAATTGTTTTTGAGGATCATCAGACATTAAAGAAATAGTAAAGATATCCTCTTGTGTAAAATAAATTCTGCCTTCTATCATCAAAAAGATATGAGTTTTGGAGGACAGAAGCAGAAAGGCAGGAACTCAAATCAGTATCTAAGAAGAGGCTTAGTTACCCAACTGCATTTCAGTTATGTACACAGACTCCAAAGGGAAAGGAGCCTGATAACATTTAGACCTCTTCTTCTTTCCAGACTGCCCTGGAGGCATTTAATATTTGCCTCTAATAGTCTTAGTTAGCTAACTTACTAGGAAATTCTAAATGTCTCTAATGGTGGCCAAAAATTGGTGATATGGAGAGCCACTTTTTAAAGTATTCGGTAGAGAAGGTCAGGAGCACCATCAAGGTCTAGGGGTAAAATTATGTGCAAATTAATGGTTATGAATAACAAGAAAATGCAACGGACCCAGAACACTGATATAAGATTTTATGGAATTACCAAGGAAAGAGAGAAGAATTATGTCATAAAAAACATGTAGATGCCCCCCATCTCCCATATAGACTTTAAATAAAATGCAAAGTGTGTCTTGGAATTTTTGGAAGAAAATCAACAATAAGTATATTCCTTTAAATATATGTCATGGTAAAGTTGTCAACTAGCCAAGTACTCAGGAATAATTGGCTGTACATTGATCACATACCATTCAGTACATTCTTGTTCAATTTTTGAACCAACTGAATAAGCTAATCCATGAAAACTGCATGGGCAATTTTCCAAGGAGATGCAAGTCCCATTGTCCATTATGAGGCCTATTAAGGAAAAATATACATCAAATTCTCAAAAGAAATAATAAAGATTATACTCTTTGAATACAATAATTCAACCAACTTTTATTGAATATTTGCTCACACTAGGTACTGAAACACAAATTACTGTCAAGGAAGTTACCGATAGCCTGGTTTGGTCTCAATCAGCAGCTACCTCTGTTTGAGTGATTTTCAACTTTATTATCCCATGAGTTGCCATCAAGAACTCAAAGTTCATACAGAAGAAGGGCAACTCGTGCCTCCTTGCTTTTGAGGGAAGAAGGGAGGAAAGGAGGGAGAGAGTATATTCTTGATTTAATTGTTTATCTCAAAATGAGAGATTTGCACTATCATCATACCGATAATGAAGAGCCAGGCAGTGCCCCTCAAAGGACTGGTACAGCGGACCTGCATTTGTTACTTCTCTCTAATGAGTACAGGTGGTTGAGCCAGAATGTAAATCAACCGCATCACTAAGCACACTGTTTCATTCAGCGAACCTTCTTTTTTCAGAGTAAGACTTTCTAGTTGAAGGAAGCATTGATTTATATTTTGGTGCATGGATTTATATTCTAGTGCAAACTCCTTATCTCCTCATTGACTGGTAGCAAACAGTTCAGGCCTGGCACTGGTCCACAGATCATACTTTGAGTAGCACTGACAGAACAATGGACTGAGGTCAACAAGTCTTGTTCCAAGTAGTCCCTACTCACATTAAGTGTATAACAGTGGAAAATCACTTAACATCTCTGGGATTCTAGTTTTCTAATCTGTAAAAATAAAACCATTTGAGTAAATCCTCTTGTTCTGATAAATGTCTATCAGTATTGCAGAGTCATTCCTAAATTTAAATCCCATCTCCACCACTTGCTATGTTACTTCTAATTTCAAATATTAAAACTATATCAGGGGGTCAGCCTGGTGGCGCAGCAGTTAAGTTTGCACGTTCTGCTTCAGCGGCCTGGGGTTTGCCAGTTCAGATCCTGGGTGCGGTCCTATGCACTGCTTGTCAAGCCATGCTGTGGCAGGCGTCCCACATATAAAGTAGAAGAAGACGGGCACGGATGTTAGCTCAGGGTCAGTCTTCTTCAGCAAAAAGAGGAGGATTGGCAGCAGATGTTAGCTCAGGGCTAATCTTCCTCAAAAAAAAACTATATCAGGACTAAAATTTTGTCTTGCCAAATGTGCAGGCTTTTATTTTTCTGAACTTGTTTTCTTCTTTCAAAAATTAAAATATATAAATCATTAAATATCTTTAAATATTCAAGAGAGTAAAAGATTTGCCATGGGTAACTTCAGGACTCCAGATTCAACATTCCCCGGGAAATTTACAAAGTAATAAGCCTCGTATTAAAGAAAAGCAGTCATTTCTCCCAGTCACTTCAAGGACCAAATTCTGCAAGGGTAGAAAATTGCAACAGCCTTAATGTCCTGAAAGAAGACGTTATTATGTGATTCTCAGATCACTGGGTACTAGCTTCCATGAATGCAGACATAGTTTCTTTCATGAAGCACTTACCATCTGGGCAGTAACATCCATCAAGACAGTGGAGATTGCTCCCAAGACATTGTTTCTCAAACGTGCAGGTGGGTGGACAGCAACTGATACAGTCCCGATGGACAAAGCTGTCATCACATTTATCAGCTGAAACAGGCAAACAGAGGAGCTGTAAGTCAACATTATTCACCTCTCTTTCAAAAACATCAGTGTTTCAAAAAGTATGCAAGCTTACCAATGTTATTGCATCAATAACAAATCTTTACAATTCATGAGTTTTGAGTACTAGGTTATGTTTGAGTACTAGGGTAAGCCTAAAATAGCAAAAGTCCACAAAAAGGGTTTGGAAAATAAGAAAACATACTGCATGCGGGAAAGTCATCTCTCCAGTCCTGAATAGGATAGCCAGCATGGGAACAGGCTCTAGCATACTCAGTGGCCGCTCGACAATAGGTATCATCATCATCAGTTCTGGAAAGTGGAAGGACAGAGCCAGAATCATACAGGAAATATTGACAGAAACCGTGCCTTTGAGTTCCTGATCCCAAGAAATGCTGAGTACATGGTGAATACTCCAATATTAATTGATGTCAGCACATACATAATATTATATATTATGTACAATAATACAGAGAACACGTAGACACAGGATCCAACTAAAAGGGCCTGGGTAAATTGTCTTCACCAAAGTCTTTCAATAGTTTGGCCACTTTTCTTTTGAGCCAGGGGACTACCTATACTGAAAAAGATTTCTATTTTAATTATGACATTCTTCTCAGAATCCTTGTATGTATTTTTTTGCTCCCACACACAGCATCCCAGACCTTTTGGAATTTAATAAATCCTATTATAACAGATAAAATTCTATCACAACAAAAGTATCAGATATGAAAATTATTTCCAAGACGTCGTGCTCTTGATAGCCTACATACGGTAATTAACACCAACGCTAATAATCTGCAGCATTTGAAAGACTGAATAGATAGCATTTAAGTTAAGATTTAAAGGCAGATTTTTAATTCTTTCTAATTTAAATTACTAAAGCTGGTTACTTTTATAATATTGCCAAGGCACATAATCTCTAATTGTTTTCTTAGGATCACCCTAGGAGCTCCCCCAAACAGAAGAGGTCTGCCAATTCCCAAGGCAGATTAACAAGACACCTAAAAAATAAGCAGGGCTTATAATAAGGTAGTGGGCTTGTTTTTTCAACCCAACTCAAATTCAAAATTGAATAGTTAAATATCTTACAAGATAATTACCTTAAGAATGTTGTATTTTGTGAATCTTAGCATTTTCATATCTCTATTGTAAGAGTCGCCTGTCTCAAATTGCACTTATCCTCTGCTACTGTAATTGGAGTCTTGAAGCTTATCTAGTCCAATTAACTGAGCTTTAGAAGGAATAAAAGACTGAGCATGTAAACTTCAGAAGCTTGGAAAATATTCTAAACCTCCAAACAAGAAAAGTCTCTGAAAAACAGGGTAAGCTAAAATTGTTAAATTCCCGGAAAAACATTAAGTTTATGATTTATCTTAAAATATGTACCTTGTTTCCTACAATTAATGAAGGCTTTGAAAGTTAACAAAGTAACTGAATATTGGTTTCCCCACCCAATGCAACTGTTATTAAAATTGCTACCATTTATTAAGTTTCTCTGTTACCCTAGGAACTGTGCTGGGCACGTGACATATGTCATCACATGAAAACTCACAACAATCCGGCAACAAAGAATCCTCTTTTAGAGGAGAAAAAATGTAGGTCCAGTCCTGGGTGAAATACTGAGAGCAGTGAAAGACCAAGGCTGGAGGATTCTCGTTTCCATTTTATCGATGCCCACTTACTTGGTTGATAATGCCCTGCTCTGCCCCAAACCTGTCTCTCCACCTCAAACGTACCTATGAAGGTATCAGCAGATTTCCACTGTAAAAGGTATTTCTCTATCTTGCTATTTTTATTTGCTCTGGAGAAAGCAATTAGGTTTCAAAATCCAAAGCCTAAAGACATCAAAATCTCTAAAGACAGCAATGTTAATTTCTGAATGATGATATTTCAGATGAAGTGAGTGTGGCAGAGACTGTTTCCTCCCCAGTTCCCTCTTCTTCTCATCAGTATTAGAACTCCCAAGTTGTTGCTGGGCGTATGGCTGCCCAGCCAAAGACGACATCTCCCAGCTGTCCTGGCGTGGAGGTGTGGCCACGTTTTTGAGTTCTTGCCAGAGGGTTAAAAATGGGAGTATGCATGAAACTTCCAGGCAACTTCCTCAAAAAAGCTGACAGCCCTTTATTTCCTTTTCTCCTTCCTAAGGGCTGAAATATGGACAAGGTAATGGTGAGCCAATCTTATCCATGAAATTGAGAATATCTTAGGTTCTAGGGGATGACATAGCAACAGTATCACTAGGTCATTGGAAAACTCATGGAGCCGACACACGGTACAGGTACGAACCCAGGACCTCTTACCAACTTGGCCTTTGTATGAGATAAAAATAAGCATTCAATTTAATTTAAGCCATTGATACTTTGGCAACTGAAGCAGCCAAATAATATGCTAACCAATAAATGGAGAATGACTTTCCTGGATCTGCTAAATGGTACATCATATCAGCTTGCTTGAGAAGCAGGTGCTAAAGATGATGATGATAAAGAAAGTGAAAATACTATTGGAAAATGGTCTAAGAACGAGTCATCACGGAATAAAAGGACAATTTTCAATTCCTTATACGTGCTGAATACAGATTCCTTACAGGGATCCTCAAAAAAGAGACTGAGTGAAAGAACAGAGATATAACAATATAGCTCATAAATAAAAAATAAAACCAAATAGGGAACAGAGTGTTGCAAAATATAGAGCAAGGTCAGTATACAACATTTTAGGCAGACGAGTAGCTCTTTCATAACTCCTACATTCGTTCATCAGTCCCTAAAGTTTAGAGACTATAGATATAAACAAATATAATTGTATTCTACTCAAAATTAACAAGAATCCCAAATAAGCTTATTTTAACATCTGGAAAATATCATTGTCTTCATTATTTTTGTAATAATCTCCATTTAATCAAAAAAGTAGTTACAAATAAGGCAATTTCATACTACCTCAACCTTTCCTCTTTGCTCTCAAATTTGATAAACTTAAACCTCTTAACGAGCTATCCAAGATGCCACTTAAGTGGTTTACTCAACCAAAAATTAGTCTAGTTTTTTACAACAAAGTTCCATGTGTCATTTAAATTTCTGGGGATTCTTAAAAAATTCAGATTAGTGAAAACTTCTTGAGAAATTCTTTAATGTTAAAGACGGCTAATCACACATTTGGTAAATTTTTGAAAAAAAATAGAAAGGACTTCACTTCAATAAAGGGAAATTTATAGGAAGTTCTGCAATGATGAACATATTATGATGAGTTTCACCGAATTTGCTCCCTAAACAATCACCTAGTCTAGGTGTTCTCAACCTGGGAAAGAACGCAGGAGTCTGTGACGTTGGATGAGATAAATACTACACGTTTATTTTCGCCGATCTCCAACTGAAATTTAGCATTTCCTTCCATTGTACATATAGGTAACACATCACAATGTTCTTAGCAGTATCTGTGACTTTGTCATCCATATATCTCATTTTGCCTTGTTTTCATTTCTCATTATAATTGCTGCAGATATCTCAAAATATTGTTTACACTCATTGCTATGAAAAACTACAGTAGTCATTAGACCCGAAATTCATATAAAAACACATGTATCAGAAATTCACTTCTTTTACTACTTTGATAACTCTACTTCAATATAATGCTTCCTTTGTAACCTCATGTATTTTATTTTGTGCATTTAAAAACATCATTTTGAAAAAGAGTCTATAGACATCTCTAGCCTCCCAAAAGGGATCAGCGGCACAAAAAATTTTTAAGAACTGCTGTATTCTGTTTATGCTGCTTATATACAACACTTAGACTGTGCCTGTTATCCAGTAAGCTTCTTATAGCTGTTAGCACAGTTTGTTTTACACTTTCCATTATATTTTGTGAACTGCTGAGATGGCTAAGCTACAGGAGTGGTTTTTACTCTTCCTTGTGGATAAAGAAAATTTTATTGCAAATCCTAATCATGTCACTTACTTGCAAAGATCATTAACACAGCTGGCAATATATAAATATGGATCAATATATTCATGGCAGCTCAAAAAAGGAAACTGCAACAGTATCTGACACTTGAAGAAGATTGCCTGTGTAGAGAAAGATGGCAGTCACCAGAACATGTTTAACCGTGAGTGTACTCTCATTTTTTCTACTGATCTATTGGCAAAATTCTCTCTTCCTACTGGTAAAGAGAAGATAATTTATGCTTATAAATATAACCAACATTTTTCTAAATGCATGTTTTCATAATGAGTACTGTTTTTATGAAATGCATTACATTCACTATTTCTGAAATATCTTAAGATTATTCCTGTTGCAGTTACACTTCCTGAATTCAACATGTGAAATTACGTAGTGTTTGCACTAAAAATGCTTAACGTTTAATATACAATACAATATATGTGTATTATATCCAAGATGCCCCAATTTTTCACATCAAATTTACCTCAAATGCTGGCATTCCACTGGAGCACGGATTTGGAAAATCTGACGCTGTGGGTACACATTTGTTGTCATCTAGCGTTTGCACCAACCAACTATTTGCAAACATAGCAATGTCTTCTGTGTAGTCCTCTATGTCACAAACACACACACAAAAGTATGTGTCATAGCATCACTTTCCACAAAGACACAGTTCATCAACATAAACTTTCTGGTCAAAAAGTTAAACTCAGTAGCTTTATAATTACCAATGATATTAGACTATAAAATTACTTTAGCATAATATAAATTGAACAAACTCTAAGTACCAAATAAAAGTTAATATTGTTGGAGAAGAAAAAGCAAATTTCATTGAAGCAACATGAGAAAGGATGGAAAGTGAGCGGTACAACATGCACATCAGTAAAACTCTAATTAGCCTACAGCTTGTGCTGCAGAGAGGAGAAAAAATACGCAGAAAACTAAGAAAAGTAAGTAAAAGTTTAGTGTGAAATTTTTCAGACAGTCCTATCATTATATTTGACATCAGTCATAATCTTACTAAAATTGTAGTTCTGTTTTTGTGGTACTTAACAATAGAAAACATCTTTGTTAGGCCATTGTGGAGATTTCAGAGGACAGTCACACAGACAAGCAAAGACTAGTAAAGACACCTGGAGAAGAGAAGACTAAGAAGTGAATCCATTTCATCTGAATATGATGAACAGTGTTTCCAAACATGCTCAGGAGAGATTGCTCAGAATGCTGATACCATCCCAGCACTTCTCAGAGGCAAGATTCAAGAGCTAATATGCAGGCAGCAACAGACAGAGAGTTGATGGTGAGCACTCTGGGCTCCCTGATCCAAATCAAGTCTAAATTGTCTCAGCACCTGGCCTGGGAACAAGTTCAGGGCCTGACATGAAAAGTAATCCTGCTCCACACTCAGGCAGAGGCTGAATCTGAAATCTCAAGGACTTAGCAGAACCAAACAGACGATATCTCGAAGATCCATCTGAGACAGTTAGCTTTGAGCTTCAGCCTGTGAGTTTTAGGCTCTCCACCACTTAGATTTACAGAGCCACAGGTCTACCATTGATGACGAGCTACTGCACCACTAGAATCAAAAATCTCAAGGCAAGCGTTTGGCCACTCGCTCTCCGATTCTTCAAGATGGAAAGACGTCTGTTTGCTCTTAGCAATTGGAAAGATTGTAGGAGTTCATCCATAGAATGCTTTGTTCTCTTAGTGTAAAATCCCAAACTTTACGGTGGCCTGGACAGTAGAGACTTTTTTGGTCTGGCCCCTGCCCTCCCCTGATTCCCCTCCTCCTCCACCCACTCCTCTCAACCCCGCCCCTCCTACATCTTCTACTCCCGTTCTCCCTTAGCCTACTCCATCATGCTAGTTTTATACTGTTCTTCACCCAAGCTCATCCCACCTTGCTCTTGCACTTGCTCTTGCTCCTCCTTCAGAATCCCTCTTCCCTCCAATCCCTCCTCTGCTCCGGCCCTAACTTCATTTAGTCCTCTGTTTAATATGACCTCCTCAGAGAGCCTTCTCTGCCGCGTGATCTAAACTACCACCAACACACCCTGTTATCTCTCTCTCTTAATCTCATTTCCCCACTGTCATTTTCATGGCTGCTACTTCTCGCAAAAATTATACTTTAATTTATCTTTTTATTTATTTTGTCTTCTTCTACATGAAGGGAGAGAGCTTGTCTAAGCTGTCCTATTGCTGTAGACCTGGTTTCGTATCTGGTATACAGTTGGTGCTCAAGATACATTAGCTAAATAAGTGAATGAATAAATATAAAAGAGTTTGCAGTATTTATTCAATAGATTATTAGACCTCTAGAGCTTTCACATTTGTCTGGCCCACTTCCTTATCTCTGATATTGTTGGAAATGTTACACATTGGACCAAGCATGAGTCTGATCTAATGTACTTATTTTAAAAAGGAAAAACTGATGTTCCCTCTAAGTAGATTTATAGTCACATTTCATTTCAAAACAGTCATTTTTTAAAAGTCTGCAGAATCAAAAACATTCCTAAAGGCCCACTTATTTCAATATTTATGCACAAATTTTAATGTAACTAAATAACCTGGGCAATCCACTAGAGTTCCCTTTAGTTCCAGCTTTAACCACATACTGTATTTAGCTATTTTTACTACACTGCGTTAAAAAAAGAATCACAAAAGTTGGTTACTATGAGCCTTTAAATCCATATGAATTGGTGGTCTGGGAGCTGCAAAACTAAAATTAAAGTGTTTCATATGAAATATTGCTACAAATAGAGTGATTTATTGTCCGTATTGGGACACTTTTGAGAGTGAAAGGGAGGCACGATTAATTATCACCTGGGAGGAACAAGAGTAAACCAGACTTGTGGGCTGATGTGTAGCTAGCTGTAGACATGAATGATGGAACCAGAATCTCAAGTAGACAACACATTAAAATCTTTCTATATCCACAGAAATTCTGAGAATCCTCATTTGTTTGTGAAGTCATCCCCGAAAAATGAGTATGAATGCAGAGAGAAATACAATTTTAATCACTGTTAAGAGACTATGCATTCAATCAAACTACCTCACTGCCTCTAAAGATTTATCTAATCAGTAAAGTACAGGCTGAGTTTCAAGAAGGTACGAGGCTTCTTAAAGCTAAAGGTAATATGGCTCGTCTGTAGACATTTTCTTGCATTATTACAGCATGGGAGAAAATCGGAGGACATGTTCTAGTCACATCCCTATAAATTATTGTAACTTAGTTTTTTTATTACTCTGCATAACACTGTGCACCATATAAAATTGAGAAGAAGCTAAAATCTCTCAGCTCAGGCAACTCCACGTATTTTCCAGGGTGCTTCTTGCCTTCTGCCACCTCAGCCACAATGCAGTCCACTTGCCTCCTGCGTCTTCTTCCATTTATAATCTGCTAACAGTCTTTTGCATGCTGCCCCGCATATCTCACTGTGAAATACCATTTTATGTTTCAGGTTATCAAACTCTGTCTGATTCTTAACTCAAATCCTGATCTGAGTCTCTCTGCCTCAAACAAGAGCAGATGCTATTTTCTATCCTGACCTCTACACCTCAGATGTCCCAGGGGAAGTTGCCCATAGCAGTCTTTTCCAACTTTAATACTGAGAATCAATTGAGGCTTATTTTTTTCATGAAACCTTAATATAGAAGAAAAAGAAATCAATAATTACCATCTGATTGTTCCGCTTGAGTCCAAAGCCCTCCTTCCTACTAAAGTCTCAAGATTCCAAGTTTGGGAACCCTCTCATTCTAAATACCCAAACGGATGCAGAACACCAATCAGTGATGATCTGGATACTGTACATTTGCATTGTGCTCACAGATTTTGAGCACTTCCACTTACATTTTTTCTCATTTGATCCTCACAGGCTGGGAAGACTCAGGGGCATTATAATCATCTCCATTTCACGTATGAAGAAACTGACTCCTTGGAGCCCCACTCTATCCTCTAGCTACTAGTAAACTAATCCTGATGACGCTTTATCCATCTGGGATAAAATGTTTGCATTTTAACAAGAGCCTCTTAAAGCAATGTCTTTAATCAAACATTTCCATGTTAGCTCCATTATAGGCTTATTGAGAACACTTGGAGATGATAAATTAGCTAAAATGTATTCAGTATTAACTATGTGCCAGGCACTTGTACTAAGTATTTTGCATGGATTACCTCATTTAATCCTTGCAACTCTATGAAGTATATATTTATTATATCATTAAATTCAGAAAGTTTCATAAGTGGCAAAGCAGAATTTGAATCCCACAGTCTGACTCCAGAACCCACACTCTAAGTAGGACTTTCACCGTCCCTTAAAACACAACATATGGGTGACTCTTCTTTCTTAATTTTATAATATAAAACAAAAAGCATTATATAGTGCTTTAAGATTAAAAGTCAATTTCTCACACGTTTATCTAAGCATAGCATTGGGAGCCAGTCTGATATGTAATCCACCCTGACAGCACCATTTACAAGCTGTGTTACAATGGGCATGTCCCCTTGTGTCCTCATTATAAAATTAAGAAAATACCACCCATCTTACAGGATGTTGTAAGGATTGGGAATAACATAGCTATGTGCTCATATTAACTATTATTAGAAATAGTATCTAGGTATATTATTATTATTACTGACAACACTGTGAATTCAGAATTATTTTAACCCTATTTTACAGCTGAAGAAACTAAGCATCAGTGACATTAAATGAGATGCCTCAAATTATATAACTTATAAGAGTTGGAACAAAATTCAATGCCAGGTCTGCTGGTACTAAGAAGAATAGTCCTCTTTCTGTGTACCTAAATCATGGTTGTGTCCTATGACTCTCTTATTCTGTTGCCACTGCACACAAGTACCCAAATTGGAACAGACCCATTTTTAATAGCTCACCGAGATTAGTTTTATGACTTAGAATGTACAGATGAATGATATCTACATCATTATACATGATAAAACTTTTCCAAGTTATTTTTCAACTTTTATAAATTATGTTCACATTTTATCATCTTTATAAAACTGTTATTTGACAGTCATTTAATTTATTCCGATCAAGACTGGATGCAAAATAACTTTTGGCCAAAAGTAGACAATTTTTTCCCAAATAGGTTTGAATGACTAAAATATAAGCCTAAGAAGGAGAGATGTTCACTGACGTTTGCTCACTGATGTATCACAAGCTCCTACAACAGTGCCTGACACAAAGTAAATGCTCAGTTAATATTTGGTACGTGAGTAAATCCTGTATCTTAATTTGGCAAGTGTAAACTAGCTCATGGTTTTCAAGAATGACACAAAAATATCTTCCTATTTGTTTCACTTCAAATCACTAAAGCAGCCAAGTGACAGCTGCCAATCTTACTCAACATAGGACAAGTGGTGTCCTTGGGTACCAACAGCTTGATCAGTGAAGAAAGAACACCTCAGAAGTACCGACATGTCTCCTCTGCTCCACGTACCTTCTTGAATGACGAAATCATCAGATTGAATGCTATTGTAGTTTCCACATAAGCCACACGATTTCCCTTTATGCTTCTCAGACAATTTGAGGTAAATTCCAGATATTCCATCCCAAGCCAATGAAAAACCAAACGTTGTTTTCACCAGAATGTAGTCAGCTAGTTTCTCAATGGAAACTTGTCCAATTGTCTGAGGCAATGTTAGACTTGGAAAACAGAACAAAGGCAATCTAAGAATTATGATGAAGGATCAATTACAGATGATCTATTTCTTTCTGGAAGTGATTGGGCTAATTAAATTAAAGAGAATTATTACTCAAAATTATTGAATAAACTTTGCAGATTTCCCAAGCATCCATCCTATAGAAAATCTCAACTTTTTTTAATACAATATTGAAATAAAAAGACAACAAAAATGATACTCTTGTCTCTATACTGACTTAGATTTTACAATTACAATTGAATGATTCTTTCAACCAAACAAAAACACACTTCTGCTAAATATCGGTGATTTTTTAAAATCTGGAAAATAACATTGTTTATTTAGAATAATGAGAGCATAAATGTATTTATTTTTTATCTAGAGACTTCAAGATAATCTTAAAAAGCTGCTTAACTTTTTGAAGTAAAGACAAACAATGGTCAAAACATGTAAACATGTTTCTCAAGTTCCAATTCTGTTTAATTTTATTTTAAATTTGGCTGCAAAGAAATAGGAGCTTCTACCCCCAAAATGCCATCTTGGTATAAGTCATTGTTTTCCACAAGAAAAATATCTAGGCAGGATTAATTATAATTCATATTTTTAATGCTGCAAAGTACATTATTAGGAATATAAAATACTTTATCATACAGCATTGTATAGGGGTTATATCAATGATTTTTAAATTGGGTACAATTGGGCCTCTTTAAAAGGGTTACACGGAATATTTAAATCTTGATCCAATGTCTAGTCTTTCCACTTTTCACAAGCATGGACACATAAAAGGAAGCAGGTGATATAAGAAAACTGAAGAAAACTAAACAATTGGACGTTTTAAAAGCACAGTGAGTCCCCTAGAATATTTTTCAAAGAACAATGGTCTCCTTCCATCCACAAGTATGACCAAAAAAAGCAGGTGCTAATAATTAAAGAAATGGAAGGGGAGAAAAATCATTTTCACTAAAATAGCCGTGCTAAATGGAATTACAAACTGTAGAGGGAGTGCGAAGGTAGGTTAGCACGGTCGTTCACAATTTCTCTCAAAAACTTCGAATTTGTGAGTTCCGTCCCAAGAAGAGCATGGCTACATGGGACAAAGCTATAAAACTCAACATGCTCATTAACGAAAGGAGAGTCTCCAAAGAAATAACTCAAAATATCTGTCACTATTTACACAAACATGTTTGCAGATAATTTTTTACAGAGCATTTGCTATAAGAGTAGGAAAAGTAATTAAAAATTTACATTGGAGAATAAATAAGAAAACTCTAGTAATCTATTCTTATTAAAAATTACGAGGAATTCATAGTAAATTTATGGTAGAAGTCAGTATGACTAATATTGTTTGAATTTGCAAGTTTGTAAAAACTATACTTCAAAGTGGGGTAGCAATGGGATGTTAATTGTATGGAGATATAGATGTTCTATTGTAGGGTTTTTTTTGTTTTATCCTTGGTTATTTGGTCTCTTTCACAGTAAATTTGACTAAGTACACAATTTTTTTAAAACAAAAGGCACATAACTGTGATTATCCAGATGTCTATAACATAAAAGCATGCTAGTAGAGATGGGGGATAATTGTAAAAATTAAGTAATCTGCCACAAATTTAAGAACTCCCTGCAACCTATGCAGGAAACATTAATAATGCCATCTAAAATGAATTCACAGAGTAATGCTGAAAATTACTCATGGGTTCACCCAAACCCTTCACTTCATAGGAGAGAGAACTGAAGTCCAGAGAGGACCACAGGCAGAGCCTCACACATTTGATTGCATTTTGGCAAACATTTCTCCAGCCCCTCCTATGGGTTAGGCCCTAGGCCAGGTAGGGCATTACTATAAGCTGAATAATAAGAAAACCATCCTCTTTGTATCATACAAGTTGAAATCCTCAAAGAAATATTTTCTCAATTAAAATTTAAATATTATGTCCTAGATTTAACAAAGGGTTAGTACTCTTGAAAATCTACTTGAATGACATTTTTGTTTTATAAAACATAATAATTTTTTTAAAGTGCCCGTGATGTTACCAAAAATCCCATATAAAGAGTTCTAAATTTCTATTTAAATTCAGCTTCAAGAAACAAATATGTAAATGCATTATCTTCCCATTCAAATGGCTGAGCTTTCTTTTATAAGAAAATGAGAAGTACAGAACCCAATTAATTAAGAAAATAGGCCCCAGAGAAGCAGAGGGGCTGCTCGGGGCTGCCGGCGCCCGGCTCCCCTGGTGCTTCCTCCAACGCCCTTCTGCAGTCACCTGCTGCCTCTTGAGGAATCTAAACTGAGAACAAAGCACATAGGTTGGTAAGACCATTGCGCTGGAAAGAATCATCTTGGTTCAAACACTTGCTGGTGAATTCTGAATGATGAAGGGAATGGTTCCATCCCACAATTTACTTTTCCTGGCATAACTCAGCCAAGAAATATTTAAAATTGAGTATCTCTGTAATCATTTAGATTGGAAGGTGGATTATTCCACAGTATTCTTAGTTTAAAATGTATAAAACTTTCTGAAAAATAAATAAACATCTTCTTCCCAAAATCTCTCAGGTCTTATTCTTGTTAGCTAGGAGGGCAGAAATGGGTTCCTCTCTGATGTATTCAAGAAGGCTGGTCTTTCATTGGCTCTGAATTTTTGTCAGAACACTAATGGAAAATCTCAAATGACATCCAAACTTCAGTCACATGGATTTGGAAAGGACCTCCAGAAGTTTAGTTTTATTTTTAAGTTTCTGCTTAAAAAAAAAAAGAAAGAAGGAAAGAAAACATTTAAGAAAGTGGGCAAAAATAATTGAAGAGTCGAACTATGAAGATTTCTCTTATGAAGATTTCTTTTAAAAAAAGGTAAGATGATCTTATCTCCACCTGTGTAAACAGATTTGTCTCCTGCACAAACACTAGGAAGTTTAAGCTGGTGAGATTCCTGGCCACCTGGCTGGCCTTGGAGCCTCCTAACATTTTGATGTCTGGATGACACAACTTTAAGGTTGCTGTAGAAGAAGAAATCCTGTCTTCCCACTCTCCACAATTTGCTTCCAGTGTGAGATGTTTGGAAATTCTATTACTGCATGGTGTTGTTTTCATTCTATCATTTATCATATCTTACCTGATTCCATCCTTTTTTATTTCATGCCCATAAATTCGAATTTCCTCTTGGTCTGAAAAGAACAAGCTGATTGACCGATAACAATAATACACTGAAGCAAGGCACTTAGGACTATTATGAACCTTAAAAGGAGAAAAACAAAAGACAGCATAGGAACCAACAACAACATGTACGTATGCTTTCATTTAGTTACTAAATTCACAGTGTACATCTGTGGTTCTGTAGCACTGTTAGTCCCTAACACGTTACAAAACTATAATTACATTTAGGATTTTCAAGAGAAAAAAAATATTTACCTCAAAAATTTAACAATAGAATTAACCTCATAACATACAAGTTAATTCAACATATTTTTTAAATGATCTGAATCTTTACATGGTGGATGTTAATATTCTAAAACTATATGGTATGTATTGGAAAAACTTAGTTCTGGTAGGAACACAGTAGAGCACCACAAAGAAATACACTTGTAATTTTCATGACCATAACCTGTTAGAGAATCATGAAATAGAGCTCCAAATGGTGTTCTACATAGAGCAGTATGCAAAGGTTGCAAAAGTGGCTATAACCTCACAAAAAATAAAATTTCACAGACACTTTAGGGAAGAGAGATTATTTCTCAAAAAATTGATGAGAAAATTAGTTTACTAGTAAAAAGTAAAAAAAAAGCAAGGAAGAAAAGAAGACCAGAGAAGAGGAGGAAAAGAAGAAAGGAGGAGAGGAATGTTACATTCTCTTATTCTATTCCAAAATTAATTTCAAAAGGTCCAAAAAGTAAAATATACACAATGAAACCATAAAATAACTGAAAGAAAATATAGATAACTTATATAGAAGGAAAAGAACTTTCTAAGCATAAAGGTGATAAGAAAAATAGCCAATGATAAGATAGACCTTTAATACTGAAAGAATGTAATGTATATTACTTTAATGATTAATCAGCAAATTTTATTGATCACTTATTATGTACCAGGCACTGTTCTAGATTCTGAGGATGTAGCAGTCAACAAAACAGATAAAAATACCTGCCCTTATGAATCTTATATTCTATTAAAGGAAGACAGCTAGCAAAATATAACTAAATATAGCTAAAATATATACTATGCAGATGACATGAAGGAGAAACATTAAGCAGAGAAAAGGGACAGAGAGTGTGTGTCAAGGTTTAGGGGACAATTTTAGATTGAGTGACCAAGAAAAGCCTCACAGAGAGGGGAAACTCTCTAGTAAAGATGAAGGAGGTGTAAGAGCCAGTCAAATGGGTATGTAGAAGACCACTCTATGCACAGGGAATAAAAAATGCAAAAGCCTAAAATAGCAGTATGCCTAAAATGTTCTCAGCATCCAGGAATCCATGTACCTGACCCAAGGCAGGATAGCAGAGGATTTTTCTCTAGGGAAACAAAATTGAGAGAGGACAAGCAAATACTGCTATTTGGGGCTTATCTAACGTATCCAGAGGCTCTCTGTTGAGTCTCCCACCAAACAAGCAAGCCCCCATCCATATGTTCAAAGCTTCTAAAGAGCTTTTAGAGCCTAATTCTCAAATGTCACCAAAAATTCAAGGATCATTTGATAAAAGCCTGAAATGTGAGTGATAGACACCCAATAAATAAACAAAAGAAAGGAGATCAAAGGAATCAAAAAACATTCAGAAAAATAAGCTTCCAAAAATCCGTAATTAATATCTTCAGAGAGAAAAGTGAGTAGATGCCATTCATGAGACAAAAATAAAATGCTGTTAAAAATAAAATTCAAGAAGACAATGATGTCAGCATCATGGCTGAGTGAGCTCTCCCCTTAGACTCTCCCCTCTCAGATATAATGAAAAGGACATTCATACACCAAAGAGGACGTTCACATGACATGAAAGCAGTCTGAGAGACCTACCCAGCCATATGTCTGAAGGTGGAGAGGCTGGATCCCCCAGAGGAAGTGGAAGGAGGTAAGGTGAATCTTCTCTTCCTCTCAAATGGCAGTGACCACGGGACTGTGTGCAGCTCTGAGAGGAAGGGGGGGAGGGACAGCCCTCCATGGGAACACCATTGCTCTCCAAGTTCCCTTACAGCCCATGGGAAAGCCCCACACAGAGGTAATTTAGCTATTACAGGGTGTCTTCATCAAGCTAGCACCCCAGAAGAGCAGATAGCAAGGGCCCAGTGAGAATGTCCCTGGAATCACACAGCCAAAAGAAAGCATGCCTCCACCCTCCTGGTGCTCCAGCTCAGCGGTCAGCCAGAGCACATACAGACAGAAAAGCAGTCAGCAGCTTGGGGGATCACACAGGAAAAGAAGGCGCCCCTCCTCCGCCCAGGACTCCAGTCCAGCATTCGGCCAGAGCACTACACACAGGGAAAAGCAGTGAGCAGCTGGAGCAAGGGAGCTGCAGATCGTGGCGGGCTCAGAATACATAGCTCCTGACCACCACCCAGTGGCAGCAAGTGAAAGCTGTGACCAGATACTACCACTATGCAGGGACACAAATCCATGCCATCTAGCAGTATGAAAAAATATATTAAACCCTCAGATAAGAAGGGAAATGAGAAGCACACAGAAATCAACCTTGAAGGCACAGAAATTTATAATCTAAATGACAGAGAATTCAAAATAGCTATCATAAAAAATTCAATGAGTTACAAGAAAATACAGAAAGACAGTTCAATGAAACCATGAACTTCTTCACAAAAGAGATTGAAACTATAAAGAAGAATCAATCAGAAATGTTGGAGATGAAAAACAGAATGGATGACATAAAGAAAAGTCTGAACTCCCTAAACAATAGAGCTAATATTATGGAGGACCAAATTAGCAATTTAGAGGACAGAAATATAGAAATGCTTCAGATGGAGGAGGAGAGAGAACTAAGACTAAAAGAAATGAAGAAATTCTCCAAAAAATATCCAACTCAACTAGGAAATGCAATATAGGATTATAGGCATTCCAGTTGGAGAAGAGAAGGAGAATGGAGCAGTAAACTTGTTCAAAGAAATAATAGTAGCAAACTCCCCAAACCTGGATAAGAAGCTGGAAATACAAGTGAAAGAAGCCAATAGATCTCCTAACTATATCAATGTAAAAAGACCTTCTCCAAGGCATATAGTATTAAAGCTGGCAAAAGCCAATGACAAAGAAAAAGTATGAAGGGCAGCAAGGCAGAAGAAAATAAGTAAGGCAGAAGAAAATAAAGGACCCCCTATCAGGCTTTCAGTGGATTTCTCAGTAGAAATCTCACAAGCTAGGAGAGAGCAGAATGATATATTCAAAATTCTGAAAGACAAAAATTTTCAGCCAGGAATACTCTAGCCAGTGAAAATATCCTTCAGATATGATGGAGAAATAAAAACTTTCCCAGATAAACAAAAGCTAAGGGAGTTCATCACCACAAGACCCCCATACAAGAAATTCTCAAGAATGCCCTCATACCTAAAAAAAAAAATGGGAAAGGGGCTACAAAGCCCTGATCAAGGAGACAAATAGGCAGGCAAAACCAGAAAATTGCAGCTCTCTATCAGAACAGGTCAGTAAACACTTAATTATAACATTAAAGATAAAGAGAAGGAAAACATCAAAATAAATGTAATCTTTTCATTTTAACCACAAACTCACAACACAAGGTGGAATAAGATATGACAATAATAACTTAGAAGGGGAAGAGGAAAGGGATGGAATCAGCTTAGTCTAAGGAAGTCAGAAGCTATCAGAAAATGGACTATCTGATCTATGAGATTTTTTATACAAACCTAATGGTAACCACTAAACAAATAATTAGAGCAGAGACACAAATGATAAATAAGGAGAAAACTAAGAAGACCAGCATAGAAAATGACTAGTCTGAAATACACAGGGCAAGAAACAAAGGAAATGCAGAATAACCAGAAAATGAGCAGTAAGATGGGAGCATTAAGCCCTCATATATCAATAATCACTCTAAAGGTACATGGATTGAATTATCTAATCAAAATATACATAGTGGCAGGATGAATTAAAAAACAACACCCAACAACACACTGTCTCCAAAAAATACATCTCAACTCCAAAGACAAACACAGGCTCAGAGTGAAGGGATGGAAGATGATACTCCAAGCTAATAGCAAACAATAGAAAGCAGGCATTGCCACACTTAGATCAGACAAAGTAGACTTCAAGATAAAGCAGGTAAAGAGAGACAAAGAGGGGCAGTATACAATGATAAAAGAGACACTCCACCAAGAAGACATAACATTTATAAATATTTATGTACCTAACACAGGAGCACCAAAATACTTGAGGCAACTATTAACAAACCTAAAAGGAGATATTAACAACAACACAATAATAGTAGGAGACCTCAACACCCCACTTAAATCAATGGATAGATCATCAAGACAAAAAGTCAACATGGAAATAGTGGAATTAAACAAAAAACTAGATCAGAAGGACTTTATGGATATATATAGAATGCTCCATCCAAAAACAACAGAATACACATTCTTCTCAAGAGCACATGGAATATTCTAAAGCATAGACCATATGTTGGGAAACAAAGCAAGCCTCAATAAATTTAAGAAGATTGTAATCATATCAAGCATCTTTTGTGACCATAATGCTATGAAACTAGAAATCAACTACAAGAAAAAAGCTGGGAAAGGGACAAACATGTGGAGACTAAACAACATACTACAGAACATCCAATGGATCATTGAAGAAATTAAAGGAGGAGTCAAAAAATATCTGGAGACAAAAGAAAATGAAAAAAACCATACCAACTCATATGAGATGCAGTAAAATCAGTCCTAAGAGGAAAATTCACAGCAATACAGGCCCACATTAACAAACAAGAAAAATCGCAAATAAGCAATCTTAAACTACACCTAACAGAATCAGAAAAAGAAGAACAAACAAAACCCAAACTCAGCAGAAGAAGGGAAATAATAAAAGTTAAGGCAGAAATAAATGAAATTGAACAAAAAAGAAAGTGTAAAGGATCAATGAAACAAAGAGCTGGTTCTTTGAGAAGAGAAACAAAATTGGCAAACTCTTGGCCAGGCACACTAAGAAAAAAAAGAGAGAAGGCTCAAATAAATAAAATCAGCAATGAAAGGGGAGAAATTACAATGGACACTACAGAAATACAAAAAATTAT